GTCCAGGGGGGTTTTGAATATCTCCAGAGAAGGAGACTCCACAACCCCCCTGGGCAGCCTGTTTCAGTGCTCTGTCACCCTCAAAGTAAAGTTCTTCCTCACATTCAACTGAAACCTCTTATGCTTCAGTTTGTGCCCATTGCCCCTTCCCTGTCGCTGGGCACCACTGAGAAGAGTCTGGCTCCGTCCTTGTGACATCCACCCTTGAGAGATTTGTAAGTGTTGATGAGATCCCCTCTCAGTCTTCTCTTCTTCAGGCTGAACAAGCCCAGCTCCCTCAGCCTTTCCTCATAGGGGGAGATGTTCCAGTCCCCTAATCATCTTTGTTGCCCTCCTCTGGACTCTCTCTAGGAGTTCCTCATCCTTCTTGAACCAGGGAGCCCAGAACTGGACCCAGTACTCCAGGTGGGGTCTCACCAGGGCAGAGTAGAGGGGGAGGATAACCTCCCTCGTCCTGCTGGCCATGCTCCTCTTAATGCACCCCAGGATACCATTGGCCTTCTTGGTGACAAGGTCACACTGCTGGCTTACGGTCAGCTTGTCATCCACCAGGACTCCCAGGTCCCTCTTGACAACTGAATATTTTTAAAAATAAAGTATTACTGAATTGGAGGCTGGTAACAGAGGCGTCTGTAGAGAGGATCTCATGAGGAGCATGGGAGAAGGTATGACAGATGCAGGAGAGTACCAGTGACCAGTATTGGCAGAGAAGTCCTGTATGAGGACAGAAAACACAAAAGCTCATCTCCTGAAAGGACATATCAGTAGATTTCCACTGTGCAACCAGCCAAGAAGACAACAGACAAATACTGCTGTACACACTCAACATGAATTTATAGGGTCGTGATGGACTTGCTTTAGATGGAATTGGGGGAAACTAATTGTGAGACCCACCAAGGACTTCCTGAATGCAGAGAGCCAAGGAACAAGGAACCTGCCTTGCATAGCTGTGCTTAAGGAGCTATCCATTCTCCTAATCGAATCTGGCTGTGATGTATAAGTGTGCTTACACACCTTGCTGGTAGTAAATTAAGAAATGCAGTAAAACAAAAGATAATCTGGTTGTTATTTTCAGAAAAACTTTCTCAACCAGAGAACCAATTACATACAATCGCAGTTTCTTACTCTTTTGAACCAAATCCTAGTGCTCTATATTAAAGAAGTTTCCTTCTTTCCTAAGAAAGAGACCTGTAATCCAAACATCTCTAAAGGGTTCACAGCTGCTGCAGCCAGCAGGTCACTGTGGACCCTTCCTATCTCTCATGCCATAGAATCCCAGCTAGTAAGGATTTGATTGTTCTTCTCCAGAAAAGCTCAGTCATTAATGTCATTTTTCCATTTAAATTGAAACTCATGGATATATTTTTCAAGGCTCCTGAGCAGGTAAAACATGCAACTCCTAGTTCAAAAGTTAGAAGCAGGAAAATAATGATCTTTATGAAGGTACAGGTAAATTTGTATTTAACTGGCAATGTAAGATCCAAGAATTTGATTTTGCCAAGATGTTAATAGACCAGAGATAAGAATACCTACTGTAGCCGACATGTCTTGTCTTACAACAGACATAGTTCTCCCTTCAAAAAAGGGCACACAACAATCATCAGGTAATCATAAGACGAATGCAACTGTTTATGACTGTTTAATTTTCTGTAATTAGAATCATTAGAGGACAGGGGTTTACCCATTCCTTTTCCATTTTTAGTACAAATTCTGCAGGTGTACAGAATTTTCAATTCAAGGATGAATTTGTTGATAATTTGATATTGAAGGCAGAGATTTCTTTTTTCCCCTGAGTGCAAATGATAATAGAAGTAAGGTATATGTTTAATTTTTAAGACATTTTTCAAAGACAGCTCTCCCAAAAAATTGTAAGACACAGTAATAAAATGTTTGTAGTAATAAATTTCTTAGTTTCATTGAAAATACTTAAGTAACTGCAGAAAGATTTTGAATTTCTAATCATCCCAATACATAAACCAGATCTTTTAAGTTTGGCAGTAAACTAAGCCATACTCTAGTCTGTATCTAAACTCCATTATAGATGTTTTTTGTAATACAGTGTTGTGCACTTGCAAACCTAATAACTTTAAAAAAAATCTTGTGTGTAGAGTGTCCATGAGATGCATTAATTACCATGCAGTACAAGGGATATTGGCAGGTAGCAGTTGGGATCTGATCTTTAGATTTTGGAAGTATTGGGGTATATTTAAATTTGTTACTCTAAATTGTAGCTATCATGCCCAGTCCCATATTTAAGCTTAGATTTTCACTTCCATTTCTACAGATTGGTATTCTTTCAGCTAATGTTGATGATCAGTATATATAAAAAAAACATCCCTGAAGATGAGAATATGCCTTGCAGATACGACTTGCAGCTCTGCTGGAATTCAGGTAGCAGGTTTGATTCTAAAAATGACACATTTCTTTCAAAGCAGAGGGCAGAGGTTGACCCATATTTTTTAAGAAACTTGTAGTTTATAATTTACATCAATTAGAATGAAAAACCATCGTTTTAATACAAAAGTACACTTGAGTGTTGGGGGAACATTACAGTATTCAACAGACAGCAGTGACCTATGACAGCATTTCAAAATTTCGTGAGGTTTCTTCAAGAGTCCTAAACTCTCAAAGGTCTTCAGCACTCAACTTTCAAAGCCCTATTCTTCCACACTTCATTCTGAAACCATTTTTATCCAATTGTGTTGAGCTTACTTCTTTACAGCCATGTGAATGGGGGTTTTTGCTGATGTCTCTCAATGTAAACATAGAAAAAAGATCTTTTTGAGTCTGTGATTGGGGGAATGATGGGAGGGAAGAACAGTCTTCTGCTTCACAGTGGAGAATGATGAGGATTTAACCCTACAAACTGTTGTTCCTTGCTGAAGCTCAGCAATGAGCTGAGTGCACTGCGCTGGTGGCTGTCCAAAGGGCTTGTCGGGGAAGGATGTGCAAGAGATGGAGACTGACTGTGTTACCTAGGGATGAAGGGATCCTGACTGGAGAGAGGCAGTCAGGCACAGGTTTGAATGAAGCCTGCCTCCATCCCAAATAAGTAATTCAAACCCCAGGCTGTTAGTGACTCTCTCTCCTCCTGCTTCTCTGGCTGGGCCTGAGGAATTCTTCCCCAGCAGCATTGCTCCTGAGCCTTTCTGTACTCCTGAACAAGTATTTTTGGGTGAATTTCTTGGTTAGCTGAAATATACCCAAACACCTCTTTTTAAAGGACCTGATCTGTCATCTCATTGAACATAGAAAGAATGAACAACAAATGCATGACACCTGAAAGCAAGAGATTCTGACCATATTCAAATTAAGGAGGTGTAAATATCGAGGAAAGAAGAGTCGTCCAATGGTCAGGGCACTAGCCAGGAACACACAGCCTTTCTCAAAACCTACCTCTGCCGTAGCTGTCTTGTAAGACCAAGATAAGCAAAGTTAAATTAAACTCTCAGGGCAAGAAAATGTCATCTGTAAACGGGATAAAAGGGGTTCCTTTCCTCACAGAAACACGTGCTTTAAAGATGAGGAGGCGGCTCAGAGCACTTTGGTAGTTACTAAATACAAAAGTACTGAAAGGAGTTTTGGTAACCAGGCATCTCTGAAAACCGAAGTCTTTCGCTTTGTAAAGGCAGCAGTGGAGCAGTGGTTTTAATGTAGCTTTTAAAAAGCCTTGGTGAGTTCAGTTTCCCAGATAATCCAGCCAACGCTCTCCCACCACTGAGCCTGCCAGTTCTGTGGGTTGTAGAGTTAGCAATGTTTGAAGCTCCGTTACAACTACCCACAGGCTGAACAAGAGAGACATCAAAATTATTTCACATAAAACTCCTGGGTTTACTCACAGTAGATTCCAGTAAAGAAAGTAGTAACACTTAGCTTTCAATAAACCCATATTTTTATACTTAAATGTCCTCGTTGCCAGCTCTGATCATAGTCCATAAAACTTACGGTTTTTTTAAAGCTCCAGGTATTGAAGACAAATAACTATGCAAGAGTTACAGCTTTTATGTAAAAGTAGTTTTCTAAGCCTTTGGGGCTGCAGAGGAATCACTCATTCCAAGGGTTTAAAGGTGATGGTCTAATACCTCAGCATGTGGAGACCACCCACACTTTTGGAAAGCCTGAGGAAGACAATCCCGAAATTTTACCCAGATGATCCAATGGACCAAGTTCACGATGCTCTCATTCTGTTATGTAAATGATGTAAAGACCCTCATTACATAAACCAGTGGAGTCACCCCAGGGACTGATTTGGCCCCGTGCCCTCAGTGTGTTTGGGTGGAACCAGCAGCTCCACGGAGATACCGCTGCAAACAGAACCAGCGCTTTCCAGGGACTTTTTCTTCTTGCGTTCCTTAGTGCCTTCTGCAATAAGCGAGGCATTGCTTAGCAGTCGTGCCCTGCACATGTGCATGTCAGCACTAAACTACTATGAAGTGTACTGACACCTTCTGTTCTTTATTCATTTCTTCCAGGTCGATCTTTGTTTCATTCTGTCTCCTTACTGTACAAAACCCATCATGCGCTGGGTGATGAATCACTGAACTTTTGTTGCCTTTTAGCTCCTCTCTGTGAGTGTGTAAAGCACTACACCAGATGCTGAGTGTCCTGAACCACCATTTCTATAGCTAAATCCACATTTCACAGCAGATGTAGACCATGGCATCCCTGGGTCCTAATCAGTCCTCCCCGTTGCCCAGATCGTCACACAGCTGGAGAGCTCAGAACTGGGGGTCATTCCTGGGGCCACGAGGTAAGCTGCAGGTTATGCTTAACACAAATTCTTTAACAGACTATATGTATAAAATAAACCCAGTATTTTAGCAATAAATGTGATTTGTAACCATAGCACACCCGTCTGTTGAATCTCAAGTCTAAACATAACCAGCAGATGAGGACTCTTAAAGGAATTAAGATGGTTAACTAAGGAGTCAGAAATTAATAGAGAATAAAGCTATTAAATGCATAATATTAGACAAAAGTTTGCACTCTAACATCCTTACCGCAGTGTCATTGGTGGTAATGTAGACCAACACATCTGAGTTGTTTCTGCCATTAATGTATCGGTAACAGTTCCACACGCAGCTTATCAAGTAACCCTGCAAAGAAAAGGGATTTATTGTCCTGTGCAGGAAATAAACCACATACATCTTTTTGTTAGAGCATTTCTATTCTTATATAAATAAGAATATGAGCCTGATAGAAGCATGGGACAGTCACTTTGCTGGTTGCAGTGACTGTAAGTACATGTAGGGATTCTGTAATCCAACGCTGTTCCTCTTATTGATGGAGCTGGGGTTGTTCAGCCTGGAGGACAGAAGGTTCTGGAGAGACCTTATAACGGCCTTTTGATTCATAAAGAGGGTTTGTAAGAAAGATGGAGAGAGATTTTTTCCCAAGGCCTGTAGTGACAGGACAAGGGGGCAACGTTTTTAAACTGGAAGAGGGTAGATTGAGATTGGACATAAGGAAAAAATTTTTGATGATGAGGCTGGTGAGGCAGTGGAACAGGTTGCCCAAAAGTTGTGGATGCCCCGTCCCTGGAAGTGTTCAAGATCAGGTTGGATGGGGCTTTGAACAATGTGATCAAGTGAAAGATGTCCCTGCCCATGGCAGGGGGGTTGGCCTAGATGTCCTTTAAATGTCCCTTCCAACACAATCCTTTCTATGATTCGATGATTCTGTGATTATGGAGACTTGTGTTGCACTATGAGCCACTCCATCTAGGCAGAGATACTGCAATCTAGACCTATACAAATGAACTTTACAATTCCAGAGATTTAATATTGCAGCATACTTAATACAAACTAATTGTTTTGAAAAGAAAGAGTTTCTGTGGGCCTGAATATAGCTATCATTTTGTGTATATAACTTCTATTTTACTTAAAGGAGCATGTCATGTATTCTGGCTTTCTTTCTTACACCTCTCTAGAAATACAGAGTAAAACCCCAGTAAAAAGAGCACAAGCAGGGTGGGGACTAGAGTTGTCAAGCAAATTACAAGGAACCCTCCTTGTCTTGTGAGTAGAAGCCTGGCCAATGACTACATCATGATGCTGTATATCATGTGCATTGTCCCAGTAATCTGTTTCACTTAATCTGACATTAAAGCAATGTATTCCCTATGACTGGGGTGGCCTCGGGTCTTCCTATTCTTGCCTGACTAGACAAAACTGCCAGTATAAAAGTTTTTCCTGAAATCTGAAATTATTTCTGACCTTTTAACTGTTATTACAAATACTTCATTCTTTTTTTCAGTGTAAAGCAAAAAAAATGTAATTGCAGCAATAATCCTACCTCAGGATCATAAACTTCACTGGTTTTGTTCTTGGAGCTCACTTGGGTAGGGCTGCTGCCTGGCAAACAACTAGTTGTCCCCACTTTTTTTTTAACTGATTGGGCAAAATGCTCACATCCATCATTTCTGTCACCAGCAGGAGAGATTCCATTCTGGCCAGCAGAGATGAGCAAAGTGGCTGGAAGGAAGAGAGGAGGCAATAACACATGTGGAGGAGCAGGAGTCAGATCCTCAGCACGCCAGGGACAAGGCTGGTGGGACTAAGCAGTTCCCTGTGGAGCTTTCTGCCTCCCGTGTAGTCACACACGACAGTGATGAGTAGAATAACGTGTTTTGATAGTGCTCAACTTATATTTTTACTTAGCAGGTTCTGCATAGCAGTTCTTTCACAAACCTAGCGCGTGCAAATTGAACTGCCAGCGCTGATTGGATTTGCATGTGTGTCTCCTCCAAGTGAGTCATCTTTTTGTGACTCACTTGCACTGATGACCTTCCAAAAGCTTCTTATCCTTTTCAGCTGCCCTGTGCTTCCTCCCTCGCCAGAGCTGTCACACACGAGCTGGGTTTTTCAGGATGCCACATGACTCACTGATGGCTCGCTTGCAGATCAGGAAGAGTTTTTTCCACCAGGGCTGAGCTGGCTGAAATCCAGTAAGTTCGCTTCTTCTTCTTTACGGCATCTTACAGACCCCGGATGACTTGGAGGTGTCGCAGACTTTGCCAATACTTTCTACCATTAAATAGGGAGAGTAAAAGGCTTCCGGAGGGAGTTGAGTCTTAAGAGAAGGTTAGGCTGGCTCTACAGCCTGAGCTGCAGGCTATGCAAGCCTGCCCTAGACTACTGAACCAAGTGGTATAAAGGCATATACGTCCATATACATATACACCGTACACACTTCCAGGCAACACAACCCATCTTTTTAAGAAACCCTTTACATTATTTGCAAACTGATTTCTATACTCCTCCTGTTAAAATCCAAACTGAGGGACGCCCCGTTTCAGATAATACCATCTCATCTGGGAGAAGCTAGAGGGAGATTTCTTTCTGAATGCTCCCATTCCGTTATATGTGGTGAATAAAACACATTTAACCCCACAATAAACACCTACAGCAGTTCCAGCTCTGAGCCCTAGCTCTAATCAGCCCTGCTCCTGCATGCACGGGCTGTTTCTCAGTGGGTGAGGTCCATTCCAGCCCTTGAATTAAAGAGGTCATCAGCCAGCACACACCAAGTAATTGGCCCCGAGACACTGACCCACATACAGCTGAGAGCGGCGGCAGCTCAGAGCACGTCCTTGTCCAAGTGCTTTGGATATGTGCTGCTGGCCTGCTAATTGGGAGTCATGGAAACTTGCTTTCCTCAACCTTCTTTAAACCTGTTCCTAATCACTGTCTTCTACTGATGCTGCTGCAGCGTTAAATGGGATTGCTGATTCAGTTACCCATTTTTTTTTCCTGAAAAACTTGGCTGAGTTTTCAAATACTGCTTTAAAACATGTGGCTGGACACACAGCACATAAATATATCAATTTTCTCTCAGGAGACCAATGTTCGCATAAAAGGCATTAAGTCACTTCAGCCTAATCCGCCCTTAGTGGTATTCACGCATACCACAGCACGGGCTGCTGACAGATGCCTTTTGGGCGGGCAGCCCCGGTCGCCACCGTGTGAAAGGATGGGTGCACAAGAGGGGCTGAGTGCGGCAAGAGGCGCCGTGCCTACTTCTGCCAGCTTTCAGTCTTCCTGTCTGAATGGTGGTAAATTACTTCAGCCCCTAAGGAACTGAAACCCACAAAACTTTCCAACCCTGCCTCTCGCCGCTGTTCTTGCAGATGCACTTGTTAAGCTGCACAACAACAGTAATGTACTGCACGGCTTCTGCTCATCAGACCCGTGCCCGTCCAGCTGACTGACTGGCATCTCTGTGGAAATTCGAGGCTGCTGTAACCCGCCGTTTCTTGTAACGCAGCACGGAAAAGCCTGTGCCAATCTGGGTCACAGCAGCCCTGCGGGCAGCTCCCTTGCTGGCAGCAAGCGCAGGGTGAACGCCACAGACCCAACAGAGCGCCGACTGGTTGGGAGCCGTCTGCGCTGAGTCCCGTTTTATTCTCCAGCTGCTTTGAATTTTCTATTGACAGAGCTGGGCTGGTCTTCAGTAACTGGTGAAAATGAGATAAAGATTTCTACACAAACTGAAATTTATATGAAGATTTCAGAGGGATGCTAATGGCACATGATGGTTTATGCAGAAGGAGAAACACTGGGTTGCTGTGCTGATGAAATCTGCAATTAAATCCATCTTCTCAGCACGCTAGAATGTATATCTTGTGAGTGTAAAAAGGCTGTACAAGAACCACTCCTTATAACTGCAAAGAAATGCTGCGATTGAAAAGGATTAATGATGTCGAACCAAACCACTGGCCTGCAACACTTTAAATGGCACCTTATATGGGCCAGGACATCATCTGTTGGCTCACAGTCACACGCACTGGGGTATGCAGTTTAAAGCAAATGACCCCTGCTTTAGACATGCTTCTTCTGTAAGTACCCTGCCACTAGCAAGTCCAGTGGTGGGACCTGTCCCAGGCTTTTGTGGAAGAGATGGCAACCTTGTGGCTCTGTACTGGCCTTTCCTGGGAGCGGGGATCACAACGTGGCTGTTTTCATGGTCCCAACTGCTGCTCCATTGCCCCTGTGGGAAGGTAGCCGACACGGGGGCGACGCCAGGAGGCATCCCCATCCCCCTGGGCTGAGACATGAAATCTCTCAGGGTGAGCACAGAACTTCATTCTGCGTCACCCTTTCCCATCTCCTGAGGACACCAGGATATGCAGAGTGGTCTTACCTCCAGGCTTGACACCTTGTACACATAAGTTATAGGCATGTTATGGAGACCAGGGTTAAAGTTCAGTTTACTGAAGACCAGCCTATCTCACTGAACTGGAATACCTTTTGGCTGCCCCACTGGCAACTACCTTTTCTACCTTCTTTCCAGAAGAAGAAAGGCCAAAAAAAGAAGAGATGAAGAGGCCATACTCTGCAGCTGCAGAGCGCTCAGGGCAGCCTGGGGGAAAGGTTTATTTTGGTTGTGTTTGTGCTCAGCTGAGCCTAGCTCATTTGGGCCTGGGGGGCTTCGCTCACGGTGGGGAGGGGGAGGTTGAAGCCTCAACCGTTCTGCCTCAGCAGCTGGGGCCGGTCAGGGGAAACCAGGGCCCTGTTCCCCAAACCAGCTGAAGAGGAGGGTGTGATTCAAAAGCCACTGTGTTGGCTATGTGCCATTTCAAGTCCTGTGTACATGTATACAAATACATTTGTCCTGCTGGATGTCCTTCCTCAGCCAGATAGGAAACACCTATGTTTCATGGTATGTAACTCTGGTTCAGTTTCTAGACAAACACAGTAAATGGAATAACACACTTTGATCTACTCTGAAAAAGATTCTGCATGAAACCACCTGAAATATCCATTAGCTGCTTCGGATCCAAGTAAATCCTAAGGACTAAAAAGACAAGTGCTTGTGTGTGGTTAGCTGGCTCGCTTTCTTACTGCCCTCTCTTGTCCCCCTTCCCTTTTCACAATCCCACGACTGCAAAGCACAAACCCACCATCTAATACCACTATATCATGATTTCTGCTCCACAGTGCTTTCCTTTGCATGTAGATTCACCCATAACAAAAGTGTCATGATGCCAAATGTTTCTGAGGAATGATGTGATTCTGTTTTATATTTCCCAGCAGCTGAATGCAGCTTTTCCCACTGTAGCTTTTCCTAGGTTACAATGTTTTGGTTTCTCTCCCTGTTTCTCATCGACCTCCAGAGGGAGAGGGAGCTCAGGCATATTTTTATGCACGGTAACTTTTCAGTTTCAGTATATAAACGTGGTCCCATCTGTTAAGTCTATCAGTGATAAAGTGTGATACATCTGATAGTGTCCAGCTTTCTTTTCATGGAGCAGATTCCACAAATCTGTATAGCAGTTCTTCTGGAAACATGAGAAATAAAAATGTAAGTGCTAGCTGGAATTTAGCATGTGTTTCTGTGTGAGTCATATTTTTTTGTGACTCATTTGCACGATAATATGTTGCTAGAATGAACATTATACAAGCCACATATAATCTTGGAAAAAGCATGTGTTAGCCACTTTAAAACAAAATGAGTCTTTTGCACTATTAAATTCTTAGGTTTCTTTTTTTTGTAGTAAGTATTTTTGTCATTTCAATTTTAGTTGTATTTTTTTTTAAACGCTTGAGACTTCCTTGCCATACTTAAGTCAGTGAACTACCAGACCTACCTGGAGTAAAAACAAGGTAATGCTTACATCTGAGAAATTTAAAGAGCACATCCGTTGTGGCATCTGACAGGTCTATGTATTTATTACATTCATACATATTTCTTAAAGGTGTGAACAAAATCAACTGTATGGCCGTGAACATATAAAGCCAGAAGGCTAAATTGTATTTCTAAATCACAGAAGAAAAGTGAGTACCACTTCCAACAGCACCTTAAAATACCCTGTCTGGGTTATTTTTTCAGTTTTGAAGTAGCTTCAATAATCTAATCTACCTCTTTTGTCGCAATAACTTTCCTTGTTCATGTTGTCAAATGTGTTGTTTGGAAGCAACATCCCTGGTGTCACTGTGACTCTTTAGGAATTCTCTAATCTAACGTGTCTTGCTTTGCAGAGAAAGATCAAGAACTATTCTGAAGTAAAAACCAACATGAGAAATACAAGAACGAGCTGTGCACATAAGGGTGCAAGAAGAGGTCAAACATACCAACATACTTTCCAAGAGGTCCAAGGCTCAGGGGACCAGTTGAGCTGTACGTGGTTGTTTTTCATACATTGATTTGTCTGATCTTATTCTGAGCTCCTTTCGGACTCCTGCCCCACACAGCAGGTGGGAGCCAACCTCGCTGGACCACGAACCTGGGTGCAGGGGTTTCACATGAGCCCTTTCCAGATGCGCTGGGCGATGCTACATCTCCCCTTTGTCTGTACCTGCTGCCTCCACCCCTCTCACCCGCAAGGTTTGCATAACAGCAAATAAATCATCGCTGCCTGTGCCCTTTTACTGCCCAGTGTGACAGCCCTTTACATTGTCCCTCCCAGGAGGGATTGTTTGGGTCTATTTACCTGCTCTACAACATCCTTCTTGAGATAGGACACCAGAAGGGAATGCATGCTTCCAGAGGTGGTAGGCATCAAAACTGGCAAAGTAGTCTTTAGATTTCTGGTTTCTCTATTCCTTTCTTAATATTCGTAGCATTTGATTTACTTGTTCGACCAGAACTGAGCAGTAAGCTAATATTTTCACAGGTCTATCAATTACAGCTACAAGATCCCTTTTTCAGGTGGTCATGCTGGGTTCAAGAGTCCACTGCAGTGTCTGTGAAACAAGATTGTGCTTCCTCTGCGCACACCACTTGGCATCTATCACCACTGAGTTTCTCTGCCATTTCATTGCTCAGTCACTTAGTGCCATGAGATCTGCAGAGCTTTCTTGGCTGGTTGTTTTCCCTATTTTGAATGACACTGCAAAAAAAATGTTAGATTTCCTTCCCCTTCCCAAATCTTTTATGAATGTACCGAACAGCGTGGGTCTTATTGTTGTAAAGACTGATAATTTATCCTTATTCTCTATTTCCTAGCCACAGTCTGTGAGATGACCTTTTCTCTTGTCCCTACACATCTTAGGGTGTTTTTTAAAGCCTTTGATGAGAGACTCTGCCAAACCCCTTTTGAAAAACCAAGACGTCTGTATCAAGAGGCTCTTCCTTGTCCACTGGATGACTGGCTCCTTCACAGGATTTATGTGTCATGAGCTCCCCCTACAAGCATCATACTTCCCCGTTGTGCCCTGTATGTCCATGTGATTTTCTGCTTTTTCCCCCTAATGTCTATCACTTTGCTTCGTACAGCTGTCAGGCTGCCCAGTCTGTAGTTCCCTAGATCTATTCTAAAGCCAGGCCTCCCAGCAAGGGACATTCCACCCATGAGCAGAAGTAAACTTTATACCCAGTAATGCACTTACCTTAAAAGCCAGAATGATACTTAGGAAAAGGAGGATAATCACAACCAGACATGTAGGGTTCACAGCCATAATCTCTTCCTTTGAGGGAAAATTGGTGGGCTGCATAAGCAAAAATAAGCAAAACACTGTAAGTTAATCTCACGAGTCATTTAAGAGCCGTTCAATTAGTGCACTCTATAATTAACAGCTTACAAAACTTGCTGTGATCTACTAAATTGGGAACTCCCTGCACCAATAACCAGTTTTGGTAAGTTTGGCTGGAACAGGCATCGCAAAGACTCAGCTGACAAATGTGCACCGGAGGGCTGAGGAGTTTGCCTTTTGCTTGGTGTGTGGCGTGGGCCGTCTTTTCCTCTGTGCCCATGGGTTTTGTATCTGACACAAGCTAGCAAAGGACATCTCTCCTGGAGCTTTGCAGCAGGAAACCTGCCATCTTGGGCGATTGCAGGCAACTCCTGTACTTATTAACTAATCGTTATCTTATACTGGCACTGATTGCCAAAGACAGCGGCCTTGGCAGCTTTCTGGCAGCCCCTTCCAGAAAGTCAAAGCAGGAAAAGCTGGACAGCATGGTCTTTTCACCTAAATATTTGATCAAAAGACATTGGGTCTATTCTGCTCCATCACATTTTGGCTAAATTCGGATTACTTCTTCAGGAGCACTTGTTAGTGCTGCTGTCTGAGTGCATGCCCCGTGGAGGCATGGGTCCTACAGGGGGGCAATGCCATCATTTCAAATCAAAACATGCTCCAGGTGCCGCTGTTATCTCCTACATGAAAAGGAGGTGACAAAATTAATCTACCTACTTAGCATAGGCTCTAGTGATTTACAGTTGTGAAATGCTACAGGATCACTGGCTGAAAACCAACCTCTAAAAATATTTTACTGTATTTGTTATTGCTTCAAGAAAACACACCCTTTAAAATGAACGTTCCGAATCGTTTTGAAATATTGCAGGGCATGAGTTCCTGCTTCAGTTAGAAGGAACCATTGTTCACAGAGAGAGCTGCTCTCCACAAAAGATAACGCTGCAACAACAGCAGCTCATTAGAACTGAATGCGTTAGCTCCTTCCACACACAACCCCCTTTGTCCTTACAGGTCTAATTACTTAACCAGGCCAGCTCTGCCTCTTTGTCAGGACAATTAACTAGACCGAGCTATAACCGTATTCTTGTCGATGGTGGTGTAAATCCAGAGTAACCCCTTAATACCCCTTATACCAGACCTCAGCCCACCGCATCAGGAAATTCTCCTTTTTTTGGACAGCTGCTGGTGAGAATAGCTCTTTATTTAGCGCTTCCATGAGCCGTTCGGAGTGGTTAACATCAACAGCAGCTGTAACCCTTTGCAGATAAATGTTACATAAGCGCATTTTCCGCTTCTGGACAAGCAATGTTTCTGTTCCTGTACTGAATTTCATGGCTGCAGTTTTTATCACGTTATCTTCTTTGTTGAGGTACGGCTTTTATAGGAAACAAGCTTGCTATAATTCAGTAAGTTGCTTCTTTTTTTTTTTTTTTGTTTTGTGTTGTGGGTTTGTTTTTTTTTCCACGGAAGGTTACTGCTAAATATAGTGGATGCAGTCACGCAGAGACCAACAAAGCAAGAGTATATGCCAAGAAAAGATGCACTGAAAAATAAACACGAACCTTATATGCAGAAAATGTAAGTATTAACACAACCGCCTGCCCTCCTGCTTGCAGGAGGGAGGCCATGCATGTGGTTAGAAAGTCCAATCAGTTAAGGACAGTTACAGTAAAACTGCCCCAAAACAATTTTTTTGCACTGACCTACCATTAAAAAACTAGTCAAACTAGTCTGTGAATGTAATAAAAAGCTGCTAGTGAGGCTTTGGTCCTCCTATGCTCTAGTTTTTTGGGGAACAGTCACTGGTCAGAGACTGGATGACTGCATGCTGGGGTCTTGGCCGTAACCTAATGGCCTGTTTCCAGGCATCAACTCAACTGGGATTTGCACAGGGGCAAGAGGAGGGCAGGAAAATGACCAAGAAAGGTCCCACAACCTTGAGGAGCAGGAAAATCTGCTGGAGCCATGAGCCCCGGCCAAGCCCGGGAGCAGTGTGTGCTGCAGCACAGTGCTGGGCCCTCCCTCACCAAAGCAGCATTTCGGGTGAAAGGACAATAAAGTCAGCACTGAAAGCAGCAAACCAGGAGAGCACGTGAGGAGCAAATGCTGCGGTTTGTCCCCTTTGCGCTTAGCTTTCTGGGTCTCTGTCCTGAAGAGATGTGAGGTGCAAGCAAACCCCAGCGAGGCTGTGGGTGCTGCATCCGTGCCAGTGGTCATCCCACCCACAGATGCCCAGGACATCTTGGTGCAGGGCATGAAAACCAAAGCTGGCCCCTCCAGGGGCTTCCCAGCTTGCTCTGTGGGAGAAAAAGCTTTTTGGGCTGCGATGAATAGCCCAGGGGCAGCAGGTGAGTGTGGAAGAAACGCCCTTTGTTTGCTAACCAGGCTCATGGCACCTGCTGACCAGAAGACATTTAACGCTGGCTTGCCTGGGCTGGCTTTTGAGCAACCTAATCTAGACTCATAACTACAAACCTCTCCAGTGCAGTAGGAAAGGCAATTTATAAAATCTGCAGCTTTTGGCAAAGAAGGAGGAAAGGTGATGGGAAGCATCTCATCTGGCTCCCAGCTCGCGTGGTGCAGGCACCGTCATGGAGCTGGTGCCATCAGGAGGCCCTTGGGATCCTCCCCACGGCAGATGCCGCTCCCAAAACCTCATTCATTCCCACAGAAAATGGGTACCAACAGTGGTTCAGGTGAATCAAAGACACATTGCCCTCCACCGACTGCAGTGATAAGCTTAAACACCGATGTGGGTGTATGAGGTGGGAAGAGAAATTCTGCTCCTGTGCTGGGGGTTTGCTCTCCTGTGGGGAAACCAGTAGTGGAAATCCTGCTGCTGGGAAGGCCCCAGGCGCCGGGCTCAGTGCTGCAATTTCTGGAAAAAGCTCGGTGTCAAAAGTTGTGCAAGGTTTGAAGAAGCTGAGACTGCAATATGGCTGCGTGGGAAAAATCAAGCCCGTCACTGGAAATACAGGAGTGATTTTGCAGCAGGACATGATGCAATTTTCAATAAAAACAAAAGGTAGTTGTACTTGTGTGTCATCAGCATGCTAAAGTCATAATTAAAGTGTCATTTGTAAGCTTGTCACGGACATGGAGAGGGCTGCATGCATAATAATACACCTGGTAAACTTTCAATTTTAAAAAAAATTACTGCTTATACATAGCAAAGCTCTATTAGACACTTAAAAAAAATCTAAAACTTGCATGGAAAGGATATTTCTATTGCAATGATACTGTACAAATGCGCAAGAAGAATAAAAAGTCCAAGGCTGAAGCCCTTTCTCGTTCTCTCAGCCTGCCTGCACATCCTTTCACGTTTTCCTTCCCCTTGGACCACAAAAAATCCACTTTAAAAGATAGCATGGATTCTCCTTCAACAGTTACAATCCTCCGAGTATCCGAATCTTACAAAATTGAAAGAAAACAGTAATGTGTCTGTAGAATTTTTGAAGCTCTGCTACAAACCTAGTAGTACTTCTTCTTTGGAATTATAAAATGCTATTAAAAATGTCAGAAAGGATATTCCTTTTTTAAGCTTTAGTTTATACGGAAAATTTCTTTAGGTTTAATTTCTTTTATGCTCTCTAGACGTTTCCCTAGAATTTAAAAGCATTACTGATACCACCTGGATTGTTAGAGAACAGCATTGCAGGTAGTCCCCCAATAAAGCTATTTAAGATACTTTGAAATTTTCTTTAGATGAACTGTAATAGTCCCAAATTTTAATAAAAACCAAGTTTGCCTAACTCAGTTGCAGACTAGCCTGTTGTGCACCTCTGCTTCAATTCATTTTGTATACTGTTACCAGATGACAGAAGATGAAGTGTTTAATTTGAAGGCTTTAGAAAGCCCATATATCAAAGATTTAGTGAGGCTAAAGAAAAGAAATGTGCTTTAGGTCAAACTGTTTCAGACCACTACTGCCCCAAGAACCAAAATTATTTTTATTTTAAACATGCTAGATTTACTGTATGTGAAGGTTTTACTTTTTCTAGTGGCAGTGATAACGACCAAGACATCCAACATAAGCCTTAGAAAGTTTCATCCCATGTGAACACCATGCAACATTTCAAATGCTAGATTTGTAACATCTACTTGTTTTACTTGACCCTTCATGCTGAGATGCTCTTGCAATTTATGGGGATTAAGTTGCACACCTGTGTGAAACTGGGTATTAAAAGGCAACAAAAAGTTCCCAAAGATGCTTGAGCCTCTGAAAGAAGCAGCCAATACAGGCTGACAGTACCAAATACCCTGTGAACACAATGTTCCGTATTTTACAACTGCAACATTTTCAGCTAGGCCTCTGCCTATTCTATTGATAGGAACTCATTTATCATCTTGCTGAAAGTACATGGAGGGTTCCACAGTAGCTTGCAACTCACCACTGACAGACTGAAATCTGGCAGATGTGCACCAAAGTGAATAGATAACATAATTCCAGATACTAGTGTAGGGAAGTAAAAATGGTTAAAAACATGGGGGTTTGACCTTAGAGCAAGTAAAAAGTGTTCTTCTGAGACTGCCAAATATATTCCATTATCTAATGCATACCTTCTTCCAGCTCTTCAATAATGGATTTGAAGAATGATTGGGATTTTTCATTTCCCTTATGGAGCTGTGCTCCCTAACGTATCATTCCCCAAATTCAAAGCAGGTTTAGAGGAGCAAAAGCTGTAAGAATGCCTGGAAGAAACACAATCCCCTTCCTTGCTTTCTGCCTACCTTGGCAGACCCCTGCAAAGGGGGTGAGGGCAAGGTGACTCTAGGGCTTATTTATAAATCATCAGTAGGGATCACACCCAGCTGGCATGACTCAGATCTCACCTACGGGGACAAGGGTATTAACTGCAGTCTTGTTCTAAACACGGGGTTTGAGGTGACAAACCTATCTACTGTGAGTATTATTAAAAGGTAGGGAAACAAGTCCATGGGTACAAGCCTTTTTAACAATATTTGAGCGCTAGCACCGATAGCATTATTGCTAAAAATATGAAAAGCTGGTTTTTAGTTTCATCTCTGTGCGTGTCTGAGTATCAGACACCAGTGGATGTTATCTTCACCTCTCCCTTTTGCTTTTGCCCCCTCAGACAGAGTGTATCTGCTCTGAACCAAATGCAACAACCTTTTGTCAATTGATGTGGCCCTTCCAGGCAAGGGTATG